AGCTGTGGGTTTGTTTTATTTTTCCTCTTTCCCCCTCTTTTTTTTTCCCCCCCTTTGTAAAGCAAAGAAATGCAAAATATAAACCCAAAACACCCATGGATAGCGAAGGGCGAGGAGAGAGGCTGTGTTATCCATCGTATGTGATACGGGTATTGAGTGAGAAGCACCAGCGAAAGTGTAAATAACACAGTAGTTAATAGGGACCATAAAGGTATTCCTGGCCTGTGGATTTCCAAGTGCCAAGCTGTTTTAGAGAGGATCTTGAATCCTGCGGTAATAAAGGGGCAACGGAGACACACAGCGTCTCTTCTTGGAAAATAGAAACCAGATTTCTGCTATTGAACATCTATTGTCATTAAGAGGAGAGGCTTGTGCTCAAGAAGTTATAAATCTTATCACCCTTTTGATAACACAGTTGTAATCAGTTAGCATCGCATTCAAACCCAATTGTAAAACTGCCTAATTTAATATGTCATACATGTCATTAAAACTTTATTTTTCCCCCTTCTCTTTTTTTTTTCCCCCCTCTCTCTACCCATTCCCCCCCGCCCCCCCAAGTAAAATGTCAACAGATCTGGCGTGGTAACGTGCAGCAGGGAGAGCCCAGGGTGGCTGTGCGGCTCAGGGGGCGAGCCCGGTGCTATGCTGAAGAGGCTTTGCCTTCTTCCCATCTAGGTAATCGGAAGCGTTTGTGTCATATTAGAAGAAAAAAAATAAGAATAATAATTTAGAAGAGAGGGGGGTGGGAGAGGAGGATGAAATCCTTCTCCTTCCTTCACAATTGCAATCGCTCAATGAAGTTCTTTGAAAGAAACTTGTCTTACGATTAGCTAAGCAAACACATCTGCTTTCCTAGTTTGGGCTTAGCTAATTATCAAAACAAAGGGGCCGTTTCTTCTTCTACCTTGCTGGAAAGAAGATGTTATTTCAGGAGTCCTGTCCCTCCTCCTCCCCCCCTCATCCACACACACGCAGCCCCTATCCCAGCCCTTCCCAGCGAAGCACCACGCTCGTTTTATTGGGATTACCGATGGGGAAATGAGTTTGCGCACTTCTCTTCCTAATGTTAAGCTTTATCATTACCTTCCTTGGAACAATATTTTTCCAACCAAATGTCCCTGCGGCAGGGCGGAGTGTGGAGGTGGGGTGGGAAGGGGAAGGGAGGAGGGAGAAGGTGGTTTTGAATTGCGGACCAACTTCGCAGCTATTTGAATCAAGCCTGCACTCGGTTGATTTTAGTTGACAGAGCGTGTGTTGAAGCTGAACTCTATAATTTGCACTTCTGTTCTTTTATTAGAGTTGGACAACGAACTAATGAGCTTTCCCCCAGCACAGTGTCACTTGTATTTATTTTCTTTTGGAAACTTTTAGATAGAAGAAGTGTTCTTGAGAAAGGGCAGAGGTGGGGGGAAGGTTTCGCGTGGTGTTTTGGTGGTTTGGTTTTGGGTTGGTTGGGTTTTTTTTCCCCTGGAGGTGCGGGCATCAGCTCTGTGCTTGTGTGGATGTGTGTGTGTGTGTGTGCGTGTCCCTGTCCCCCGCGAAAGGCGACCCACGGGGTATTAGAGGAGGATAAGCTCCGAGCTAGATGTGAAATCCGGGCGATGCTTTCCTTGGCATGACTCGGACGGTGGGAAGGTAAAGCAGAGGTGATCCTCGCCAGACACCCGAAAAGAAAGATAAATAAATAACTCAATAAATCCTTGCTCCTTAGGCGGAGGCTCCGCGGTGCGGGCGCGCTGCTGTGCGGAGCGATGGGCGGTGAGCGGCGGTAACCCGAATTTGATCTGGTCTCTGCAGGAGCGGGTTAACTTTATAAAAGCAAGAGGTGGCTCTAAATATGTACCTGAGAGAGAGTGGAAGAAGGGATTTTTTTGAAGCAAAATAGAAAAGTTTAAAATAATTAAATAATTAATTAAATAAATAAAAGAGAGGGAGAAAAAGCCCAAAGGAAGGATTTCCACACACACAAAAAGCAGGGCGAAATGTTTGTCACTACGTGCCCACCAACGCATGAAACTGCATACATTGCTCGGAGCCTGCTCTACCCGTGTGAGTCGTAAGATATTTTGAATTTTGATTCCAGTGTGTTTTCTTTGAACTGGGCCTTTCGGTTTATTAAGGCAGGAAGAGGAACTCAGCAATCCTCTTTGAAACACGCTTGGTTTAACTATTTTACACAAGTTTGCCCAGGTCCCTGGAGATTCTCCAGTTGAAGAAGATTGAAATTAGAGTTAAAAGCTGGCGGGGGGGGGGGGGGGGGGGGGGGGGGGGGGGGGGGGG